TTTATGATAACACAAAACTTTCATTAGTAGTAAATTATTATTTTCAGGTATTTTAAATAATAGATTATTAGATTTAAATAGTAATAATATATATTACAAATTAATAAAAAAAAATATTTATTCTCTTTAAATTTCAAATTAAATATTTATTTATTATTTACTGATTAATCATTTATAAAAAAATTATATAAACGGCTAAATGGTAATATATTACTTAAAAATTTAATTTATAAAATTAATTATTTATTTTATTTTATTATCTTTCACTGTTATATATTTTAAAAAATTAAATTAGATTTTTTAAAAAGATGAAAATAAACACTATAATTTTTCGAATCAATTTAAAAAAAGCGGGACTAGGGTTTTTCTCTGTTGCTCTGGAGGTCAGAGAAGAAGAGTCTAGAGACTTGAGGGAGTCCGTGCGCGCGTGTGCTTCCCTCCCTCTCTCTCTCTCTCTCTCTCTCTATATATATATATATATATATATATACGCTCAGAATACGTATAGAGAGAGAAAGGAAAAGAAGAGAGAGAAAGGGGGAGGTCAGAGAGAGAGAGAGAGAGAGAGGAGAAATGGGGAGGCCAAGGTGCTTCTTGGACATTAGCATAGGAGGAGAGCTGGAAGGGAGAATAGTAGTGGAGCTCTATAACGACGTCGTTCCGAAAACCGCCGAGAATTTTCGAGCTCTTTGCACTGGTGAGAAGGGCATTGGCCCAAACACCGGTGTGCCTCTCCATTACAAGGTCACATCTTTCTCCCTCTCTGTATATATATCTTTATATATGCATGTATATTTGTTTTCGTATATTTGTATATCTACTTGTGTATTTTTGTATGTGCACGCTGACTGTACTTAGTTTTGCTTTTGGTGAAAAAGAAAAGACTGCAGTGTCATTGGAGGTGCGCCGATAAAAAGATGACTTCTCTGTATTTTTTTTTTTGTTTCTGTTTGAATTTTTTCTTCATGTACGATTGCCGATCTTATTTTTTCCCGGTCTAATCATGTTCTGGCAAGCACTTTTTGAAGGTTTTGGGGATACTATTATGAATATCTACCTGTACTGTTCCTGTTCTTATCTGTTTCTGAAATGTTTATTCATCTTGGCCCCGTGTGAAATGATCTTGATGTTCTAGATAATTCAGCTGAAGTATCATTACAATCTTGTCTTTACGTATTGATTAGGAAGTTGAGAGACTTTAGTTTGTTCTGTAGTTTATTGCAAACAGATCGGTAGTTTTGATATATTCTACTCGAATGTATAGCAATTAAGGCTGGTTCTAATACAACTTTAGCTTAGTAACTTAGCTTGTCTTCGTATATTGATGTTCTGTTTCAGGGGATTCGTTTTCATCGTATTATTAAAGGTTTTATGGTACAAGGCGGAGATATCTCTGCACAAAATGGTACTGGTGGTGAATCTATTTACGGCTTGAAATTTGAAGATGAGAATTTCGAATTCAAACATGAAAGGAAAGGGATGATGTCCATGGCCAACTCTGGCCCCAACACAAACGGGTCTCAGTTCTTCATCACGACGACCCGAGCTTCCCATTTGGATGGGAAACATGTCGTGTTTGGGAAGGTTGTCAAGGGAATGGGAGTTGTTCGTTCTATTGAGCATGTTGTTACTGACGATGGAGATTGTCCCACTAGTGATGTTATTATAGTGGATTGTGGTGAAATTCCTGATGGAGCAGACGATGGAATATCTAATCTTTTCAACGACGGTGATACATATCCTGATTGGCCAGCTGACCTTAATGAGACTTCTAATGAGCTCTCTTGGTGGGTAGATGCTGTGGATAAAATCAAAGCACTCGGAAATGAACACTATAAGGTAATGTTTATTATGTCATGATTCAATTGAAATTTTGTGTTCTTCACTCGAACAATTTCTGATGGACCAAAAAAATCTCATGCCTATAAATCAATTATTTATTGCTTTGCTAGAAACAAGACTATAAGATGGCTCTTAGAAAGTATCGCAAAGCTCTACGGTATCTGGATATCTGCTGGGAGAAAGAAGGAATTGATGAAGGTGAAACATCTCTTTTCTATCTGGAAATATCTATGCTATATATTTTTATGTTATAAATCAGTTAACGGCTCGTGGATTATTTATTACTTGTCATGATGGTTCTGTAGAGAAGAGTACATCTTTGAGGAAGACAAAGTCACAGATATTCACAAACAGCTCTGTAAGTCGATCGTCTTATATTTCCTCGGTTTATCAGTCAAGTACTTTGTTTGGTAATGATTTTGTTTTATTCTTAGTTGATGGCTTATTCAACCAAGTGATTACTCATACCCAATGCAATCAAGTACTAGAGACTGCAAAATCAACATGATAGAAATTTTTAATTTTCTTGATACGTAGATTGTAGCATGTCCTATTTTCTACCATAGGTAGGTTACATAATATCCTGATATTGGGTACATTAGATACATAAACTAGATTATTAACTCAAGGTTTTAAAGAAGCAATATGAGTACATGAGATATTGAGTACCAATACACATTCTTAGCCAATTGAGCTTTCACTTGGAGACCAAATGTTGCATTTCTATAATCTGTGTAGTCCCTCATTGTTGTTCTTTAATCTGTAATTAATAATTGTTTCAATCTTACCCTGTATAATTACATGGTACTCTATCTTGCTTAGGCCTGCAAACTGAAAATAGGAGATCTGAAAGGAGCATTGTTAGATACGGAATTTGCTCTGCGCGATGGAGATAACAATGTAAAAGCTTTGTTTCGCCAAGGTCAGGTTAGTATCTTCTGCTGGCCTGGACTTCACATGCAAGAAGGTGGTCCTAAGTTAAATGCTTGTAGTTTTATGTTTATAGTATTAGTAGTTTATTAGGGTAATGATGATGATCTTTGTCTATCAGGCATATATGGCTCTAAATGATGTTGACTCTGCTGCCGAGAGCTTCAAGAAAGCACTGCAATTGGAGCCAAATGATGGTTAGCGAAACTTAGTGAAGAAAACTTAATCCGTACTTCTTGTGTCGGGTACAAAAGGATTTTGTGAAAGGGCTAAGGATGTTTAGTTTGTGGTTAGATATTCTAGTTTCAATATTACTACTGGTACCAGATATACAGAGAGTCAACAATTCACCAACTTCTAAAATAATTTGTTGGGATTTTATATATTTTTTGAATAAAATAATATATTGGAATATGTGATTAAAATGATATTGGGTTATCGGGTGCTTTTCAGGTGGTATAAAAAAGGAATATGCTGTTGCAATGAAAAAGGTTTGCACACCAAACTAATCTGTAATTTTTATGGTTGTAACTACATGCAAGTTTCTGTTTTAAGCCAAATATATATATATGCAGATTTCTGATAGACGTGATGAGGAGAAAAAGCGATATCGCAAGATGTTCCAGTGATAGCACTTTCTTCTGGAGAAGGGTAAGTCAAGCAGCATCACTGTGAATCTTTATCTTCTTCTATCACTACTAGAGAATGGGTATCTGATTCGCTTTTAAAATGATGCAGGCTGCTGATAAAGCAATATCATTTAATCCTTCAATTGTCATGTGGCAGGTCATAGTTCCAAAGAGTAAACTGTTTTCTTGATTGCAAGCTCTAGTCTTCTAAAGACGAGAATACTAGGTATAGATTTAGCCCCCTCATTATAGGAGCTGGCCATTAGCATTATATCACATTTTATCCAAATGGGTACAATAAAACTAGATTCATCAAAATTGTGAGACCAAGAACAAGAATTAGGAACAGACCTGTAACGGCCAGCTTAATTGCTTTTTGAATTCAGGTTTTTATTATTGTGTGTTGGATCTGATCGTCCTCAAAATGTTCTATATTACAGGTTTGTCTAGAGAGCACAGAGAATTATTACAGTAAACTGTACAAATTCAGGCCTGTTCTTATTAGAGTTTTGATACATGACCATCACTTTTTAGGGATTTAGAATCTTTTGGATAGGATTGTCGAATTTCCTTCCATTGGAATCTCACTCTAAGCAAATCTTGCTTTGTTGTATGAGAATTGGATAACATAAATGTTTATTTGTTGGTACAATTTTGAATTTTCAGAGGCTTCTTCTTCCATTAGGACATGTTTTTCTGCTTTGCTAGTTTCTTCTATGCTGTGTGATTATTGTAATCTGCATACATTCTGTGCATAATAAGTCTAATCCAGTCCCTGAGTTGTCAGCTCAGCCAGTAGCAGTTTAGGCTCGGGTTGGCTTTCACGGTCTATCCAATGGGCTTGAACCAGCCCATAGGCCACATTTTTATTTATTATTATTAGTATTTACCTAGCCTGGCTCGTGACAAGCTGGGCTTAGTTTTGGTGGCCTAGCCAATCGGCCTCACCCATGTTGCAAGACATTTAAAACGCTACAAAAGAATTTCCTATTGACTAAAAAAACTGAGCTAAGCCACCTTCTAAAAGATTTAAAAATTTACCCAAATTTTTCTGGATATGCACAAGGTAGAAATCCTCAAATATTGATGTCAAATTCTTGACAGTAAGAAAAAAGGCCATATGCAAAAGAGACCATACATGTTTTTAAGAGCTTGGTGCAGTGTAAATCAGAATATATGCAAGAAGGTAGGTGAAGGTTCAGGAGCACAAAGATTAATTAAGGATATGATCAAACCAAAATTGACGTTTAGGAAGTCCAAATATCATGAGTTGTAGTTATCAAGCCCTAAATCCCTCAATGCATCAGTTGCTGCATCCTTGCAGCTTTCATGGCTTGCTTTCGCCTTTCTAATAAGCTTCTCAATACCATTATTCAGCAGAAGAGTCCTATATGTTGAGACAGATTAGGTAATGTTAATATAATGTGAGGAGAAAAAAACAAAGTACAAGAAAAACTCGCCTGTTCTCTGGGTTCCGAACAACCAGATTACGGATCATCAAACAACTACTCCTTTGCATTTGTTGTGCGGCAGGAAAGTTCTGCATGGCCTGAACTGCAAGTTCTCCAGCCCCAGCTTCAATTGCTCGGGCAGCATTGTCTGGAGATCTCAATGAGAGAACAGATATAATAGACATGACCTGGGAAAAAAAAAAGGAAACGATTCATCATGACAAGCAGGAACAAGCAGGAAGATTGAACCGACGTCAAGTAAACATTTTTAGGTCATTAGTAATTGACTGTTTACCTCTTGTAGGACAGAAGGGTCATCAAAAAATCTTGTTGAGAGTTTGATTAGCCTATCCATACCCTTCTTCTCAACTATGGCACTCTTATTTGAGTCGCTTCCTGCCAGCTAATAACATAAAACATATTAACAAAAGTGCTTCTGACATCCATTAGGTCTAAAGATGTTATTTACAGAGGTTATTAAATATTGCATTGAAATTATCATGGATTGATCAGCAAAAATTTATCGGCGCGGTAAAAACATTAGAGACAAATAATTCAATCAAACATTTAACCTCTCTGTGTGTGTGTTTTAACGTATCTATCATGGATTCGCTGTGATCATAATTTCATATATCAAGAAGGTAAGTGAAATTATAAAACCATTTAGTTGAAGCAATTGAAATGTGGAGTTTTGACATTTTTATACTTTCTTTTGAGAAAAACTGTTGAAATAATACTTTAAATCTCAGTAAAGAAGAAGAAAATTGAAATGGTAGTTTAAAATCCACACCTTGGATAACAGAGAACAGCATGTTCTAGCCGCAGTTTTGTTGCCTTGTTCACCACTATCATCAATACAAAGGAGAAGTGCATCTATACCACCACTTTCAGCAATAGATTTACAGATCTCATCCTGCAGTCACGAAAAACTTTAGCTGTAAACTAAAAACCAAACATAAGTGGCCGAATATATCATTATCGTCCTGTATGCAAAACACTAATGTAGAGATATTTAGATTACGTTTGGAACAAATCTAGAATTTACGCAAAATTCATTTGTAAATTTTATTAGAAGACAATAAAAACTGAGCTTATATAAATTCCACAAAAAAAAATTGAATTTTTAAATAGGCTTGACCTCAGTAATTAAAGTTAAATCCAACTTTATCAGATAAATAACAATTCATAATTTTTGTAAGAAATAACAACATTCTCTGAGCCCCCCAAATTTTGACATGAAGGTGGAAACTGTTCCTCCGAGAAAGAATTTGTTCATGTAAATCCATATTATCTTATAGATACTGGTATTTATAAAGATGATGTTCAAAAATGTTTTATGTATTTTTGCCAAGGGCTTCAATACACAGGATGAGAAGGATCATCCATCCATGCTGTATCTTCATTATCGAGCCCTCCCCATACA